TCCTGCTGCACACATGTCGCTTGCGCAGGAAAGGAGGCAAGCTGCGCGGAGACTGGCAGCCTTTTCCTCCCAGCCCGGCCAACGGAGGGGCGTGTGGAGGCTGGAGCCGGCGCCCCCCACCCCCCTCCCGCAGATCCTGGCACCTAAGCGCTTCCGAAAAGGAAAGCGACAGCTATTGCAAGGAGGGCTTTCCCCGCCGCCTGCGCCTCGCCTGCATCCCTCTGACGTCTCTTCTCCACAAACTCACAGGAGAGAGAGAGAGAGAGAGAGAGAGAGAGAGAGAGAGAGCAAAGGGTTAATAGGCTCCGACGGGGCGGTCGTCCCTAAGCTCCTGTAGTTTAAGTGTGGAATCGGCGACTAGGGGGCGCTCGAGCTCACTTCCCTTTTTCGTGGTGGAGGAGAGGGAAGGGCGCTTTAATGAGCTCCCACCGTGGACTCCCTGCAGCGAGGAAACCACGCCGTGTCCCCATTTGGAAGGGACGGACGCGCCCCCTGCCCCCTTACGATTCGAGAACGCGGCAGCCTTGCTGTTATCTGAACGAAGGCTACGGCCGGCAGATCAAAGGCACTTTGAAACTCTTGGCACCTGCAGTTGGCAGGCTGTGTCCCTGAGATGAGGGGTGGTTCAGGTCCTCGTTTTGCACGACGACCTGAAGCACAGTTTGGACATGTCTGCGTCCGGAAGCTTCCCAGGCTGCTGCTGGGACTAACTGACCCAGAAGCACAGGAAGTGCTCCTCCCTCCGTCCCCAAATAAAGCTACAAAGGAAGGAGGCGCACAGCAATTTATTCTCGAGACTTCAGCATCCTCACTGGCCTTGCAATATGGCGCGTGGATCAGCGTAGCGATGGTTTGCATTAGCTGCGTGCCTTCCTCAGGGTAATCACATGAACCCAAGTCATGCTGAGTTTTACCACTGGCCCATCACGGACCAGCAGTGGCTCGCTAATGTTTCTCCCAGCCCCACTATTATGTCATAGAAATGTCTGGGGTTGAAACCAGGGGCCTAACACGGTGGCCTAACACGGTGTTGCATTGAACCTCTGTGCTGACCAAATAGGCCAGCAGGATCAGTGCTGTACAGTGATAGTAGAAGTAGCCCCCTATGGTTACCATAGAAGGATTAGACTAACAGCTTTTGCATGCAAGACCACATTTCCAGGTTATTTTTGATGGCTTGATTTTCTGTAATGTTCCAATTCTAACCACACTTATTGGGGGATAAGCTTTGTAAAACACAGCAAGACTTACTTCTGAGTAAAATATGCTTAGGATTGCATAGCTCGATGGGTGGTAACAATGACATGTGCTTATAGGAGACAATGTAGTAATCAAGGATGTCTTAACTGGTAATGGTGATTTGCCAGTATTGTGGTTAGACTCAGTAACCCCCCAAGTAGATGCAAAGACAGGTACCTAAATGTACCACTGGCAGAGGTGCAAGCTCTTGCTAGCCCCAGCAAATCACTCTGAGGTGTGTCTGTGGTGGTGGTGGTGGTTTTTGTTGTTACAAAGCACCTAGAATAGATGTATCTACACACAGCTTCATCCAACTGGTCTGTCTGTGTCATGTCACAAATCGGGCTTCATATGCAACAGCTCTTTTCAAAGGCCTGAGGACTGATGCTTCTGCAAGCCAAATATCCATTTAAGCCAAAGCACTGAGTTTACACCAGTAGATCCCCAATCTGAATATGTTTACATAGAAGTAAGACCCATTAATTCCAGAAGAATGTATTGCTTCCAGATAAGTATGCCAGGACACCAGCAACTTAAAGAGAGTCATGACTAATGTCCCAAACATTTGCTCTCAAGGGATCTTAGTTATGATTTTGTTCTTGTTTCTGTTGGATCAGACCCCGTTACATGTAAACAAGTCCCACTGATCAGAAAGCAATTTGTTTCCACATTAACTGCCCTTTGGCTTAGGCTAAGTTTTTTTTTGTGTGTGTGTGTGTGTGTGGAAATAAATCCCCCCTGGAATCAGTGGGCCTACTTGCAAGTAATGGCCTCAAACTAACAAGGTTACAATAATTACAAACTAACAAGGTTACAATAACAATAATTTAGCTGCGCTTTGAAGCCATTGAAATAAATGTGACAAATCTGTCACACAACTAAGTGAAGTTCCATTGATTTCAATGGGAAGAATTAATCTCAACTAACTCAGTCTGGGTGGTTTGTGGTCCCTAGTCCTGTTTAGCGTACTGAGACTGTTGGCCTCGCTTTTACTGCTTTGCCTAAGCTGCAGAATGGATCTGGCAGTGTACATGTAAGCCGTTGACAATAAATAGGACACATTTAATAGATTTAATAATAATCGATTTAATTATTGCAATAGCAGGAGGCTGCCGAAAGACTGCTGGACACTTTTCCAGCAAGGAGATTGATATTGGCTGGGAAAGCTTCTATGGATTTGATTTGAGGGCCATATTTTGCCAAAGATAAATTTGTTACCTATTTTACAGTATTTCAGTTTGCTGCTGGCCATATCGTGGGTTTATGGCACTGTCAATAAGAAGCTTTAATGCCAGGGGATTGGAAGTGCAGGATCATAAAGTGATGAGCCTCTGAACTAGGAGAAAGTAATTCCCCAACACGGAAAATTACAGCATCTCTTAGCTGGCGTGACCTGTAGTTAAAAAGTATCTGATACTTTCAGTATTGCTCCAATATTCCCTAATTGTTGGTTGTTAAACTAGCTGCAGCTATCAGAGAATTGTGACCTGGTGGTGACCTGGTGCACTCCCAGAGGTGATGGTCTGTTTGCTGCCTGCATGACCCAGCCCTTAGGGGGCTTCCAAGTGGAGAATTTTGTAAATCATAGGATTGCAGAGTTGGAAGGGACCATAAGGGATCATGTAGCCCAACCCCCTGCAATGCAGGAATCTTTTGCTGAACAATGGAAGACTCAGAAGGGAAATGGGGATCAGTGCCAGTCTCAATTGGACCTGCATTTGAAAACCCACACTTGCAAGCTTCTCTCCCTGTCAAAAGTTATTAATGGACATGAGGAAACAATGGTCTGGAATGCCCATGTGGTTTGCAATTGGCTCTAGCAAAGAGGTTTTCTCTGTGTTACGTTGGACTTTCTGATTCATTGCCGATTAGTGATTGCCGATCAGGGTATTGTGAACATCTCATGAACGATATATAAGAAGTGTCTATAGACTCTGAAATGTGTGGTGCTTGTAATTGAGAACAGAGCATAATGGAAGTCTAGGTATATGGGCCTGTTACTCCCCTCCCCCAGAAAATAAAGGCGAGAGATAGGGACTGGCTGCCTTGTAGTTTATTAGATCAAGACAGGGAGTCCCCATTGCTAGGCTTCATTGGAATAGCATGGAGAAGGAATATTGCCCCACCTTAATTTACATTGTATAGGAAACTCCACATTCAAACACCGAAGTAGCCCTTATGTCATACCTGGTGCAACATACAGGGTGTACTGTAGCATTTTGTGCTGTGCTGTATTGCAGTTTTAATACTTTCTGAATTCTAGTTTTTTACTCTCTCTATTTGTTTCCTGATTTTTGTGGATCTATGGCTCAAAAGGTAGGATATGAACGTTTAATAAATGACATAAATACAATACTCATAATGACATACGCTAGAACATTCAACCTATTCCATTACTCAAGCAGGACGCTCTAATGATGTGCAACTGGACGCTAATCTCATCTATCCATCTGCCTGACAGAGAGTTGTTCCATTACCACCTCTGTCTCAGAGCCTTTTAAGTGGGACCAAAAGCCCAGCCAAAACGAAGGCCTGGGAGCTGTGCAGGCACACAGACCCTCATGATTCTGCTGAGCATCAGGAGCCAAGGGAATCTGTGGGGACCCAAAGGGGAAAATAGATTAGATGACAGAAGACATGTGCCCTTAGGTACATGTCCCCTGAGCGAATGCACAACCTATAGTAGGACCCTTTCAGCCAGAGGTGGAGAAATTCATCAGCCTCAACAACAACAACAACAACAACAATGTTGTTGTTTATTCATTTAGTTGTGTCCGACTCTTCGTGACCCCATGGACCAGAGCACGCCAGGCACTCCTGTCTTCCACTGCCTCCCGCAGTTTGGTCAAACTCATGCTGGTAGCTAATTATTTATTATTTATACCCCGCCCATCTGGCTGGGCCTCCCCAGCCACTCTGAGTGGCTTCCAACAAAGTATTAAAATACAGTAGTCTGTTAAACATGAAAAGCTTCCGTAAAGAGGGCTGCCTTCAGATGTCTTCTAAAAGTCTGGTAGTTGTTCTTCTCTTTGACATCTGGTGGGAGGGCGTTCCACAGGGCGGGCGCCACTACCGAAAAGGCCGTGGCCAATGCTCAGGGTTGATAGGACATGTAGTTTAGCAACAGTTTAGCAGTGTGTGTGTTTAAAGATGGTTGTAGCCTATCTCTAAATTCCTCACTGAATTCATCCTGAAAGTTGTTATTCCTGGTGTAAGTATCTGTGAAAAGTGGATAGCTGTTTCTGAGATGGGGCCCCAGGTTTAAAATGCAAGAAATACGTCATAGCTTCAAAGGAGTTAATTTGTTTATGTAGCCAGACTTGAAGCCATGCTTCTGCTGCTTGCAAGAGGCTTGTAAAGCAAACACAGAAAAACGTGTTGAGCCTTATCTGAAAGCGAGATTGCTTAAGTCCCTTTCTAAAGCACTCAGATCTCATCTGAAATTACCCCCCATAAGCATTCACATAAGCCTTTGTAACTACTGTGGTGATCCCCACTTTGTTGTTAACAAACGCTTATTATGTATGTGTATGTCAAACCATGCTCCCACTTGAAAAGTATGCGTAGGCCCACTGTGCTTCAGCCGGTCTGAGGTCATCCTGACGAAAGATTTGCAGTCAGGCAATGCCTGAAGTGTTGACCCAGTTATTTGAGGAATGTTTGCCTTTGGATGTTGCAACCACACGGTCACAGTTCTCTGGGCCAATTACCTTGGCTGCACCTGGAGCAATTCCCCCCCCCCCATCAATTGCTTCCATTCATACCTTAGTCAGTGTTTATTAAGAAGGATCAACACACACGCATAATAGCTGTGCACACATCAATTAGCACAGATCCGTTGAAGACAAGCTGGTTAGTGGGAAAATGTAACCGCAGCAGTACTACAGCCATAGGACAAGGATAGGATAAGTGCCGTTATTAAATCACTGGCAATGTTATCGCCACGCATCTTTAATTCTTGTAACTGAAGAAGGCAATGCATATTCCATGTGCTGCTGCAACAGTGTAGCCTGCACTGAAAGAAGCTCCACAGAAAATAGAAAGAACCAAATTAAGGAAAGTCTCAAATGTTCCATCAGTAGCCAAGTGGGGAACCTGTGACCCTCCAAATGTTGCTGGATCACAACTACTATAATTCCTGACCACTGGCCTGCTGGAAGGTGCTGAGAGCAGCTGGAATCGGACATTACTGGAGTGTCTGTGATCAAGCTATGGTGCTCTAGGCCAAACATATTTCTGCTAAGAGTATTTACTGTGTTTTGGTGGAATGAAGAATTTGATAAAGATGGACACCTGGTTTCAAACAGGAGTGGCTTTTCTGTGACCCTCCAGATGTTGCTGGATTCCAGCTTGGCTTAGTCCAGGCATCCCCAAACTTGGCCTCCAGATGTTTTGTGACTACAACTCCCATCATCCCTAGCTAACAGGACCAGTGGTCAGGGATGATGGGAGTTGTAGTCCCAAAACATCTGGAGGTCCGAGTCTTGGGATGCCTGGCTTAGTCAATGGACAGGGATGGTGGGAACTGAAATCCAGCAACATCTGGAAGTCTACTAGTTAGCCATTTTGCTTTAAGCAATGCTGACGAGCTTTTGCTCATTAAATTGTAAAGTTTCCTTTCCTTCCTGTCCTTTCCTTCCTTATCTCAAAAGGTCCCACATTTGGAAATCTGCATGTTTAATTATATTTAATGATTACTTGAGTACACGGCACCTCGTTAATCAACACAGGGCCAAACTGCATGAGATGCTAAATGCATCAGTAGAAGTTGCTTATCTCTTTCTTTAACTCAAGCAGGGACCATGATAAGTGATAAGGCAGGAGGCAAAGCTTTCCTCCTATGCCACAGTCCCAACAAAACTCATTTGTCCAACTGTATAGGAGAATCCTCACCACCACATATGGAGTCTCTCCAACAGAAAGCAGCTCTGGGACAGGGTCTGCCCTTTGTTGGGCATCAGCACCTCCTCCACATGTGCCATGCTCCCAACCCCGATTACACAGCTGACACAGTGAAGGGGCAGAGTTAAAAGAGAGAGAGAAAGAGAAGGAGGGGAAATTTCCAGTGACATTGCCATTTTAAACAAGGCAACACAAATCTTGTCTTTTTGGACAAAGAGATGTATGCCAGAAAAACATCCTGTACTTGTCGTTACCATTATAGCCTAGTAGCCATGCTTTTGGTATGCTGTTGTTAAGTCTTAGATTATTATTCACTGCATCATTCACGCTGCTATTTAATTCTCAGCAAGTAATTACATGCTCCTATGTTCTATGCACATAAGGGCCTGGCTTCCTACGGCAATTATCTCCCTGCAATCATATTTCTCAGGATGTGATAGTCAAAATGAAAAGGATGGCAAATTGATTTCCACTATCAGTTAGCTAAATTGATTTCCACTATTTGAGGATCTCATTATTACCGTGCGGTTTGATTTTCATTTGCCTAAGTACTACACTGATCATCCTGCAACCTGGCACAAAAACAAACATTTACTGCTGAGTGGTATTTAGAATCTCAGGATTGTAAGGTGGAAGAGTAACCCACACCCACCCAGATGGATAACCTAATGTCATCAAGATTACACCGCATGGCACAAACTGAATGCAGAAGCAAAAAGAAAAAAGAAAAAGAAAAGAAGAGGCACCATTGGAGGATTCCCTTAAAATGCAAACAGCTTTGGAGAAGCAATCTTAACAAGATTGTGAAAGAAAGATAAAGAGTTGAACTTCTCCTCTGCACTTTCCATGGACCTGAGGCTGCTTAAGTTTCCTCTCTGCTACTCTTTACATAACAACAACAAAAATCCTGATTCCTGACCATTGATGGCATTCACACATTTTTGCATTTGCACTATTAATGTCATGCCTAGTTTGGCCTTCAATCAGTAACGGCGGTTGTTAAATCCACCAGATGTCAAGGAAACTATCTCTCGCATGGCACAACTATATTTTTTCCTTGTTCCTCCCCGGGCTTTGGACAAGTTCCTATTCAAAGGAGTTCCTTTGAGCCTCATGGTTATATTATTCTATGCATCTATGATCATTTGTCTCCACCTAAAAATATAATGGCTCTCGATGAAGCCAAGAGTTTTGTGTACTGGAAATAATTCTGCCTATGAAGCATCTTTCCAGTTGATTTGCCAACTAAAATGCAGAGTCCTGCAGAGGCAGCAGGACAAGCCTTCAGTGAAAATAGCTCTGGAGTTTAGATATTGTCTGGGGGTGGGGCTGGATATTGGGATTGCCAAAGACAATTCTGACCATCACGTAGGAACAGAGGAAATTGCCTTGCAGTAAGCCGGATCACTGGCCTAGTTAGCGCAGTGTCATCTTGTCTACACTGCCTGGCACAACTTCCCCTAACTGGAGACACAAGGGATTGAATCTGGGATCATCTGCATTCTAAGTATATGACCTACCACCAAACTATGGCCGTTTCTGGTGCAACTTTTCAGATGTGGCGGGGAATGCATCAATGCTATAAAATAAAAACTTTCAACAGCAGTCAGTCACAGGGAACTTGCAGACAATGTCAGGGACTCTGCCAGTTCATGTGACGGATGCATGCAGAATACAGAACATGCCTGTGGAAAATTACAAGTACTAGACTGACAGCAAATCCTCCCAGGACCATTCTCCAGCTATTTGCTGCTTTACACAGAAATCCAAACACTCTCCACCTGAAAGTTGCATTCCAGCCATTCCAGTGGAAAAGACACCCTGAGGAGTGAAACTGTCTGCCAAAGGTTCAGGGACAAGTGTGTCCCCTGGATGATTCAGCGGACAGGTTAACTTCAAAGTCAAGCTGGAAGCACTAAAATGGAAATATTATCAAGGAGCCGAAGGGAGCAAACACTCAACTGGAGCCATGGAGCAGCCAGAAAAAACAGAAGCTGAAGCTGATAATCCAAGGCTATCTGGCAACCTATACAATCACAGATGCAGTATGACCTGACTTACTGAGGTTGAATAGGATATTAAACACACACACACACACACACACACACACACACACACGATCAGTGGTTCAGTCTGAATCCTGAACCCTCCAGATCCTGGTGTTTGACCTTAGTCAAACAGCTGCATCCCAGGAGTAAAGGTGAAGACACATATATCCAAATCTGTGCATATTTTGTTACGTCATAGACATGGTGCCATGAAGATGCCTGTAATCCCTCTAGGTTAGGCATCTCCAAACTCGACCCTCCAGATGTTTTGGGACCACAACTCCCATTATCACTAGCTAACAGGACCAGTGGTCAGGGATGATGGGAATTGTAGTTCCAAAACAGCAGGAGGGCCGAGTTTGGGGATGCCTGCTCTAGGTGATTGCCTAGGCCTCTTTGTCTGGTCCTCAGGACCAGGCCTCACACCTCCTCTCTTCACAGCCCCTCGCTGGTCCTGCCATGCACCCCCCTTGAGCATTTTTTCCTGGATGGAACATGCCATTGCCTGGATATAGATTAGAGAGTGGTGTGTGAAAGTACAGTCATACCTCATGTTACATTTGGTTCATGTTACGTTCTTTCAGGTTATGTCCCACAGCGACCTGGAAATACCGGAAAGGGTTACTTCCAGGTTTCGCCAATCGTGTTTCGCGCATGTGCACAAGTACCAAATCACGCCACGCACCTGCACAGATACGGCGCTTCAGGTTGCTCTCTTTTCATGTTGCGAACGGGCCTCCGGAACGGATCCCATTCACAACCAGAGGTACCACTGTATGCAGAAACATGCCTATTGTACCAATTAAAATGAACATTAGTTGCTTCACTGACTTGTTTCTGGCCTTGCCAACCACCACTGGTATGTGGCCCCAGAAGGTTGCACAGAAAGAAATATAGTCCTTGAGTTGGAAAAAAAAATCCCCTCCCCTGATCTGGGGAAAGTCATCATACAGCTAGGGAAGAAGACTTTAGCGTCAACCCTTTTCCACATGAATATATTGCTCTGCTGTGATCCAATCCATCCCCCCCCCTAGGAATTACTCTTCCACCACCACCAATCAGGTGCCCTATGTAAAGCAATCTACCTGGGGGACAGACTAAAGAGGGAGAAAAAGGACTGAAGTTATCTCATGTGAACAAAGCCTTAAGGACTTAAAGTGAACTTGACCATTTCAATTAGATACAGTTCATTTAGAACTGACCCACTTTGGCGCCTATCAACTGAACAGTAACAAATGCTGGAGCCCTCAAGTCGATTACTGCACTTTTGTAAAAATGCCATAATAGGGTTAGAACATGATAAACTAAATGGGCAATTAAACAGCAACTCTTCTCGGATTGCTTAAGTTAGCAGTAGCCTTATTGTGCCTTATCAGTCCGAGAGATTCCCTTTAAGCAGTGTTCCCAGTCACTCTCCTATGCAGATTTCAGTTTCAGATTTCCTTAAATATTATTGGCTTGGGTTAAGCACCCTGCCATTGGTTGCATAACCACCAGACCATTCATCCAGGCAACTGTTCTGCTAAATATCTAAGTGAGACTCAGATCCTGGGCCCAAAACCTAATGGGTTCATGGGGCTGGACAGAATATAGGTGATACAAATGGTCATAGTGCATGTTAAGGTATGGAATTTTCTTCCACAAAATGCATGGCCACCAACTTAAAAGGAGGCTAGACAAATTTACAGAGAATAAAGCTATCAATGGCTCATAGTCATGGTGGCTGGGCACTGCTTCCAATATTAAAGCAGTCTGCCTCTGAATATCAATTACTGGGGAGCACGTGGAAAGAGGCCTCAGATTGGCAGAGTTTGCCGTAGGCATTTGGTTGGCCACTGTGGGAAACTGGATCCTGCACTAGAGACACCCTTTCTTTGATCCAGTAGGGATTTTCTTCCATCATTATTCTGAAGTAGTGTAACCCTCAATGCAAACCCTCTTTTGCAGGCTCAAACCTTCCACCACACTTAAAAAGAAGAAGAAAATATGTTAGTTTGGGATGCAGTGTATGCCTATTACTGCACAGGTTTCAAAACAGTGCAATATTAATACTGACTGCAGCATCCTGAAGAATATGCCTTTACTTGTTAAATCCTTACCTGAGTCATCATTAGTCCAGAAAGTTCTCTGATCAGGTTGAGCCAACAGATCTTCTTTACTGTAAAGTTCTTTCACCTATAAAGCAGAAGGAACAAAACGTATCTTGAAACATCTGAAACATTTTTCTACTCCAAAGAAACCTTTTAAATACACAGGTGTATTGTATACAGGTGTATTGTATACAGCTGTGCATTGAAGTGTGGACTCTCTATTTTGTGATATAGTTTCTATGTAAAGTTTATGAGATTTCTTTACACAGTGTTGAGGGAGAATCTTATCTCAGCCCTGTCAGTCAGACTGCCTGCCCATACCCAGCTGGTCTCCTTCTGGCAAAGGAAAATTCTCGTTAGTTGTTCAGGGAGGAAAAGTGTAAACGAAAGACTTAGTTGTGGTCATTATAAAAAAAGGTAAAGGTACCCCTGCCCGTACGGGCCAGTCTTGATAGACTCTAGGGTTGTGCGCTCATCTCACTCTAGAGGCCGGGAGCCAGCGCTGTCCGCAGACACTTCCGGGTCACGTGGCTAGCGTGACAAAGCTGCTCTGGTGAGCCAGCGCAGCACACGGAACGCCGTTTACCTTCCCGCTAGTAAGCGGTCCCTATTTATCTACTTGCACCCGGGGGTGCTTTCGAACTGCTAGGTTGGCAGGCGCTGGGACCGAACAACGGGAGCGCACCCCGCCGTGGGGATTCAAACCGCCGACCATGGCGATCGGTCCTAGGCGCTGAGGTTTTACCCACAGCGCCACCCGCGTCCTGGTCATTATACACATCACCAAAAATAGGATCACAACAGGGACACAGATAATAATAATAATAATAATAATTTATTTATACCCCCGCCCATCTGGCTGGGCCTCCCCAGCCACTCTGGGCGGCTTCCATAAAAACCAAAATACAATAAAATATCACATGTTAAAAACTTCCCTGAACAGGCTGCCTTAAGATGTCTCTTGAATGTCAGGTAGTTATTTATCACTTTGACATCTGCTGGAAGGGCGTTCCACAGGGTGGGCGCCACTACCGAGAAGGCCCTCTGCCTGGTTCCCTGTAGCTTTGCTTCTCGCAATGAGGGAACCGCCAGAAGGCCCTCGGCGCTGGACCTCAGCGTCCGGGCAGAATGATGGGGGTGGAGACGCTCCTTCAGGTATACTGGACCGAGGCCGTTTAGGGCTTTAAAGGTCAGCACCAACACTTTGAATTGTGCTCGGAAACGTACTGGGAGCCAATGCAAGTCTTTCAAGACCGGTGTTATATGGTCTCGGCGGCCGCTCCCAGTCACCAGTCTAGCTGCCGCATTCTGGATTAGTTGTAGTTTCCGAGTCACCTTCAAAGGTAGCCCCACGTAGAGTGCATTGCAGTAGTCCAAGCGGGAGATAACCAGAGCATGTACCACTCTGGCGAGACAGTCCGCAGGCAGATAGGGTCTCAGCCTATGTACCAGATGGAGCTGGTAAACAGCTGCCCTGGACACGGACTTGACCTGTGCCTCCATGGACAGCTGTGAGTCCAAAATGACTCCCAGGCTGCGCACCTGGTCCTTCAGGGGCACAGTTACCCCATTCAGGACAGATTTGCATTAAGTGTGCATATGCTCCTTCTATGTATAAATGCAAATGTTAGAAATGATTTATACAATTTAAATAGCAATCTGGTAAATCTTGCCATGGCAGGGAAGGCTAGGAAAATGTGTGCCTGCTTAATCTGCTTAATCTGCAACCCAGGTGCTAACAACTGATGGGCAACCTCAAGGCCTCTGCTCTCACTTCTTGTGGCTCCTTATCATTAAGTCAGACTTGGACCAAACAGCTATTCAAACAAATGGACTAGCTTTGGATGGTCTTCAAATAGAGGAGTATAAAGTAGGTCACATCCCCCACCCCACCACAGTGATGACTGAGGGCAGAGAAGCCCCTTCTTTCCCCACGAGTATTGCTGCTGTGTGGTGGTGAAGTAGAGTTTATCCGACGCCCTCAGAAGGTGTACCTGCACTCTGCTCTGAAGAGTTGGGACAGTGTAGTCTGGTTCCCAGAGACAAGTGTATACACACACAAAACTTAAGAGTTTTGGGGGGGACCTAAACCTATTTACCTGCATCTGGAAATTCCCTGTGTCAGATTATATGCAAATTTGTGGAAGATAGATCTAGATCTAGATCTAGATATACTGACATCTTCTAAATACCAAGGCTAGGAAAGCACATGGACGAAAAGTACTGTTAAATTACAATGGTGTAAAATTGGACATAAATATTGTTTATATCAATATATATTGATATCAATATATATCAATCAACCTCCAGATGGGAAGCATATTTATGTGCTTTCAAGACATGAAACCAAACACTCTCAGCATCACCACTCTTTCTGTGGACAGTACATTAATTTCATAAATAGTGAGGAAATATTTTGTCCAGTGGTCTACTTATGACTAGGTTGAAAAAATGCATTGATTCACGAATGCTAACTCTTCCCCCACCACATTCTGCCCCCAAACAAGAAAATGACCAGGGAATGCTTTCCTTCCATCCGAATAACTGAAGACCATATGAACTGGCTGGAAGTCTTGTCCTCTTGAACTTGTCCATTAGTTGCATTTATTGCTCTTTCGATTTTTGTTCCTTGAAAAGTTTTGCTCCAGAAAACATGAGCTTTCTGCATGCCTTCTTCGTGCACTCAAATGGCATTTCCCAATGTACCTGCTTAGATTTCTCTTGATATTGCTTAGACTAAGTCAATTTGGACAATCAGACAAATTGCTTAATAGGAATGGCTGGGTCTTTTCGTCTCTTTGATTGTTTGGCACACTTAAGCTTTGGCAGATAACTACTGAAAGTAGTCAAATATTTTAAAACACCAGTTAAGACAATGGGCGATCAGGAGAAAAAAGCCCTGTGCAGTCTATCGTATCATTACACACTGAACTCGGAGTCTCCAGTTTCCCAGGTATGTTGCACTTTGACCCACAAAAATAGAACACGGGAGCTTAAGCTTTCATTTGATCGGCCTTAATGATTCTTACCTAAGGAATAAGAAATGTTTGGCAGAATACAGTGACTCATGGAAAATTCTTACAAGTTCCATACCAGTACTTATATTTTATATTGGATTTAAAATTATAGGGCATTTTGCTGCCAGAAGCTTCCCCAAAGAAGCTTACAACCAGTGTCTTTGAGACAGGAGTGTGACTCTGTCCTGCCATGTGATGCCCTAAACCTTTCTGACACAGGGCATGTGGAAGGCATTGAGGCATTGCTCCTGGTGGTTGTAAGTTGCCCACATCACGCTACCATAAAGCAGCATGCTCAACACACCAGCCTGGTAGACCTTCATCTTGGTATTGGTCATTAGCATCACATTCTCCCATAGCCTTTCAGAGAGGTGAGTCATTGCCATAGCTGCCTTGCCAATACTATTGTACAACTCAACATCAATGGAGAGGTTATGAGTTATGGTGGAGCTCAGGGAGACAAAATCATGTACATCTCAAGCACATGGTCATCAGTGCAGATGTGTGGGGTGCTGGCAGTGTCGTGACCCAGGATCTTGGGCTTTGTCAGGCTGACTTTAAGAACAGAAGGAAAATGTGCTCTGGCCCAATCCATCAACTGGAAGCAGGACTGGCCCTACCTTTAGGCAGTGTGAACAGGGCACCTTGGGCAACAGATGCTGAGGGATAGGGAGCAGTTGTGAGGTGTTGGAGGACAGAGCTGCTCTGTGGCATCAAAGTTAGCCTGCTGCCTTCAGATGTCCCATCCTTAGGGCCGAATTGAACTAACTGGTCCTGCTCACATAAGGGCTTCCACTAGTGCAATGGGTTTTTCTGGGTTTGGGGATAATGGTACTATTATCTGTTGCTTGTAAATCACCTTGATAATAATTTGAAAGGCAGAATATAAATCTTCTAAATAAACAAACAAATGAATACCACAGCTGGTGACATAATAATAAATCTTTGATCGACAATGAAAAGCCAGTAGAAAACCTTAACATCTTCAGCCTCTTTCAGACAGCTGCAGCTGAGAGCGGCTTCATGGATGATGTTGCTGCAGAGATAACAGGAAGTGCAGCTGTCTCACACTTCCTGTTTCTCCTATCTCACACAAGTTTCCACATCTCCTGGGTAGAAAAGCAGAGGCATTCTCAGTTCTCTGGGCCTCAAAGAACCACTCTTTGAAGAAGACTTGGAAATTATGCACCATCACTTCCAATCTCATGCTTCAACCCACATACTTAACCAGGAGGGCCAGTGCCAACCATGTAATGGCTGAACACTGACCAAGGGAGTGAGGGACATGGGTATGTGAGAGTGTGTGCCACAACACCACCCAATGTCTGAAATCTTTTGCACAGCATGTCTACCAAAACCTGATTTTACTCTACCTGCATTGTGTGTGACCATAGTGGTACTTTCTCAGGGGAAGAAACCCCCACCCTGATATTATTAGAAGCCAGCACCACATTTCTACATGGCTGCAGCCTATTCAGGGATGCCAACATGTTTAGCCATCAGCATCAGATGCTGCCAGGAACATTTTCAGCCCAGCTTCCAAATATGCGTCCTTAATAGATGGAAGAGGTTGTTGTTGTTGTTGCTGTTGTGAAATGGGGATCCTGTGGCTCTTTGGATGTTGTTGGGTTCCAGCTCCCATGCTGGCTGGGACTGATGGAAATTGGGAGTCTAGCAACAACGGGAAGGCCACAGGTTCCCCACCCCTACACTACAGACTGAGGAATAGACATCTGAAGGACAATTTTTGGTCAACCATGTAGGTACAAGCCCTGGGCCCTGACTGGAGGGGGAAATGTTTTTGTAGGGATTTCTGCTTGGTTAAGTAGCATGCTTC